TTTGATGAATAATAATTTCATATATCTATATACAGAGGTCCCAGGATAAATCGACAAATAAAATAACTTTCAGTGCTCAAAGTAATAAACAAATGTTTATTCAAATTAAAATGTATTATTTTAAATATCAATCCGATTATTGTGAATGTACAATAACAAATTGAATAAAATAGCGTGCGGCATATTCTTATTTATTAATGGATTATTAACTACAAGGAATTGTAGTTACCGATTTTAATTTAACTGTCATTTAATATCTAATTATATTTATACTCATACCGTTAACATGTATTTACTTCAACAATTATAATCACTCATAGATAATAGGGGTATTTAAAAAAATATTAAAAAATAAAACAAAAGCAAAAATAAAAACATTTGTAAAAACTGTTTTATTAAACATTTGTATACATATTGGTACAATTTAATAAGATATACAATTATAAGCTGACAACTTGTGAACTTAACAATGTTATAATTATTGTTTAGAAATGTAAGCAAGATTAAATAAGTTACGACTATGTCAATTGGAAAGATCCCAAGTGTTTTGACCCACCTTTTCTCTTATATGTGCTCATTATTAAAATTTTCAATTATTTTTTTTATTAATTGCTTGATTCTAATTTTTTAAAGACCCCTCTCCTCTATCTTTATAGATTATATTTCTGACATTAATCAATTTGATTTTTTTACAAAATTGACCACATTCACTTAACCAACTAAAAATATAATAGCATTTACTGACGGGTTGCATTATGCAGGATACTTTTGTAAATCTTAATATATTTTAGTGATTAAATAAATACTACAAAATATTGTAGAAAAAAAAAAATTGTAATCCAAAAGATTTAAGTGATATTATATATACTAATTATATTAAAAATAAAAAATATATCTGTAAAAATTTATTTCGATTATAAATTAGCAAATTTAAATTTTAAGGTTATTTGGTTATATTGGTTATTCATACATTACGTACCTATGTTAATTACTTGTGGTTATAATGATAATTATAAATTTATAATTAATCATAGTAAGAAATAGCTACAAATTATAACAAACATCTTGGAATAAATTAAATTTTGATCAGCCATTATGTTATAAATGTTATAATATAGGTTATAATAATTATGTGATATACAATAATACTGTTAGATTTTTCAAAACTTTTAATAAATCATAGACAGTTAACGGATCTACCTTTATTAGATTTTTAAACACCAATATTTTTTTAAAAATCCTGTTTACAAATGGCTATTTTTGATGTTTTTTCAAATTGTAGAATTAAATTTTACATTTCCAAATTTGAGTTTTAAAAATCAAAAAAAAAAAAACCTTTTTTATGCAATTTTATTGTAGGACAGCACTTAAATATTTATTGAAAAAAAAAAAAAAATTAAAAACAATAAGCAGAAAAAAAGTTATTGCATTTGTCGAATCTTACTAGGACAACCTGTATTTAAATGAATTTCCTCATGTATGTAAGTTAATAATATGTGAACGTCTTGCTCTTTTTTTTTTTTTTCGTCTTCACAATTGTCTCTAGACAATGTTTGTATGAAAAAAAATTTTTAGAAAGTCTAATGAATAATTCAAACATTTTTTACAGTTAATATAATAATAATACATGACGTGTTCGGCGGTTTGTGTCTGATAGACTACGAAACTACTTCACCGATTTTTATGAAATTTTATTTAGAATTAGATTAACCAGAAGAAGGACATAGCTTACCATTTGTCGCGAAAAAAAGGAAAGGAAATTATCGGTACATCTGATAAGGCCCAAACGAGTATTTTTTACTATAAAAACCCAAAAAACGGAAAGGAACATTACCGTCACACACCTCAGTGTGTACTTAAAAAATTGTGAATGTGTCTATTTAACTGAAAATAAATTCCAAGAGCGACTATCTTCTCCTCTCATTGCGACATTCGACGTTTTTTTTAATCTTTGTAAAATAAATAAATTTTCAAGAAATTTTCTGTATGTTGAGGAACCTATGTATTACATTTGAAATATAATAGAAGCGCTGAATTTAAGAAAACAGACGGTGGTGGAGTTAGTTCATAAAAAATTTTTATTATTACCTCGGCAACAATAAACTGTACACCGAAACTTTTAAAAACGTACACACATTATCTACTTGTTTCTCATTTTATTTATTGAAAGAGGACTTCAATACAATTCGGTAAGATATACAGTACGAAGATCAGGACAAGAGATGACTTGGTGCCAGTATAATTTCATTGAATAAGCAGAAGAGAATTGTGGGATTATTGGAAAATTTCGTTGAAAATCGTAATCAATTTTTCAATTGTTTAAAAACATTCCACTATAATCAATAAATGACAATTATCAAATATCATACATTCAGGTCTTCGTTGTTCAAGAGGGAAATATTTTTTTGAAAGACATTGAAGATCCAATTCATCGGAACCAATATAAAGTCTGTAAAATTGTTCTCATGAGGATAACATCGTGGGTATTATTTGGATTTTCAGATGACATCATTTGGTCTAACAAATTAAACATGGAAATATTATACCGACATTTTAATTTTAATACCAATTTTACCATTTGGCTAATGTTTTTACAAATTTATTTTATAGGTGAATCAGGGAAGTGAAATTACGTTTTTCTGTTGCTCCTAATATCGAAAAATAAATATTGTACAATTTGATTCATAATAGGATTTAAAAAACAACGATTTTGTTTTTTTATTTGCCCATACAACGAAACTTTGTTTAACCATCTCTCTGTAAATTTTAATAAACAAGTGACCAAAATTAATACAAAAATATCAGTTTTGGTAAGCAAATAAGAAATTTTGATTTTGTTGAAGTTATAATTAAACATCGATAGTAGTTTTTGTAAGGTTTAAAATTGATTTTATTTTATCTTGACTTTTATTAAATAAAATATTCAAAATATTCGGGAAGAATGTAGATGACAGAAATCTTGAATACTTTTCGCTTTCGCAAAAAAAAAAAAAAAAAAAAGGTCTATTTAAATGTATTTCCTTTGTAACACCTATACAACATAAATCAAATGAAAGTTTTTTTTAATTAATAAATCAAAAGTGTCTACATCAATTGTAAACAAACTATTGAGGGTATTAAAGGTTTACAAAAAAATAAGAAAACATATAAAAAGAAAACCAATATAAAATGGAAAGAAAAAAATTGAAGGCAAAGAAAGTCGTTTTATTTAAACTTAAAACACTCTATTTTAAAATGGAAATTGGACTATAGTATTGACAAGAAACAACCAAAGAAGATACAGCATTAAGAAAAGGCTAAAACGTTTGTCACGCATATATTTTCATGGTGTCACTTTTTCACATGTACAATGCCAAAAAAAAAAAAAAAATTACACGCGGCCATGTACAAAGCATATTGTTAAACAAATTGACATATAACCTACAAAGTAAATGAAATATATCTGTAAAATCATATATTATGGAATTGTACCGGGTTTGACGTAAAATATGGGATGCCAAACGACGAACCTACGTTACAATAGAAACAAAATTGTAAAATGAATTCAATTCATTGTAATCCCCGTTATATGTCTAGCTTCAGTATTCAGCAGTCAATATACCTGTACCAAATCCATACATTTATCAATAGGCCGTTAATTTAATAAAGTCTTCAGTGTAAATCAATGGTGGTGATGACAAGTTTTAAAAATGAGTTAAAAATCAATTTGGCATAAATAAGAAGATATACATGGATTGTGGGAAAACAGTCAAATGACTAGAGAAGTGAGCTCTATAAATTTACCTGATAAACTTTAGAGATGAAAGTACATTTTACCGATTTTTTTTTTTTATCTGTTAAGTTTTTATAAACCGTTGTTAAAATCGAAAATTCATTTATTTTAAATGTTTCTATAAACGAAAAAATACTTATTTAGGTAGCCTTATAATGGTATAATTATTTTTACTTAAAAATATTTTGCAGATTAAATGAATTGTTCGTATATTTTAGCGGTGAACTCCGCGTTACCAAATATTATAATTTTCTGTCTTTAACCCTTCTTAGTACTCTAATTCGTCATTTAAAGTACACATCATTATATTTTATAAAATATTTAAATAAATATATAATATATGTATAAGAACAACTAAATTACTAAATTAAAATTAAATTTTAATTGAGCAGATTACGTACAAACACATTTAATATATATTATAGAATATCATAATTTGGGGGTTATATCACTGATTATATTCTTCCTCAGTAATTTTCTTGCTATTAATATTTTTAATTCTATTATATTTTCTTATTGGGAATGTAGCACAGATTGTATTTACCCTTCTTTGAATATAAAAAAAAAAAAGTAAATTTCTATAAATAACTAACTCAACGTATTTTCATTATTCATCGAACATAATATAATATAACTGAGTATTTTTTTCAAATAATATGAGTAGACACAACAGGTCTCTATTTCACGTGTAGTTAAATTCAAGGATTTATATGAAAATAAAATTAACGTAGGTAACAATCACGTAAAATCAATTTACGTGAATTTAACATAACGTGAGTCTGTGAATTTTATTATTAAATCTCTGGTTTATCATTACGTTTGAAATTTTATTATTATCGGTTCGTTCAACAAAATTCGCACTGTTCGTAAAATGTCCATGTTCTTGTTCTGTGCATACATTAATCCATCCATCTCATCATTTTGCGATAATACTGCTTATGAAACATATATTTTTAGAATAGTAGGTATAAATATTTTTATTTTTTAGTCATTGGTTTTTGTTTTAAGTATATGTGAAGTAAATATTCATAATTTACTAATTAATTACAGGTGAATTAAATTTACGAATTTTTAAATTCAAGTACACATAAACAAAAAAACACGTGACCACGTGATCTTAACTCATGTTAAAATTCGAGAACTCTAATAGATACTTATAGTTTATATAAGTTTTATATATTATTTTCTGCTTAAACAACTATAGCAAATACATTATACATATATTTACCGGCAAGTTCCACCATTTTCACACGAATCCGTATTGTTAGGATGGCAAATTGGTCCGTATCCACAGTTATCACCAGAAAACCCGGAAAAACAAGCACACTTGTACTCTCTGAAAATAAAAGTAAAAAGACATAATATTATTTAATAAGCAAATATTTATATTTATATATGATTCATTAACAAAATTTATTTAAAAAAATTAGCGGGAAAACAAAATGTAATCAAAAATGATATTTTTTAAACTGAAACCTGTATTTTTAGAGTTAAAAAAATATGTTATTCGTTCGTTATTTAAAATATAAAAATGGTATTTTTACAAAGTTTTTAAAAATAAAAATTTTTTATTTAAATTTTTTAATGTTTTACAGCTATAAAGTCATGTAGAATTAATACTAATAATTATATACGCACTAAATTATGATGTATAAAAGATGTATAATAGAATATACTGATATAATAAAGACTCTAATATATAATATAAAATACAATTTTAAAACAAACAAATACATAAATAATTATTAATTTGTGTTTTTTTTTTTTAGAATATTTTTAGTTAATAAACACGCTCACGGAATAGTGTGTGAAGATATGTGAAAGGGTAAACTTGACATTTATATTCCGAACACATAGATTATAGTAAACTGTAAACTTTTATTTTTCAATACATACATTAAAATTGTTATAATAATTCATTCCTTAAAAACAATGCGTACAATATTATAAGTTGCTATTAATAACGTACATTTTATAGGATAAACACACTGATATAGCAAAATGGTAATACATTTATCAAACAGCCGGCAATTAAATTTTAACATTTTTCAAAACTATACTAATAATTTATAAAACTTTCAGAAAAACAACAATAAGATGTGTACATTTGGTTTTCCTATGGGTCTTAAGATGGGATTGAAAAAATCTTAAATTAAATGTTGCTACTGTGTTCGGACGTGAATCGAATGTGACCGCAACGCCTTAATCTCTACTGCATGTTATAATTTTATGAAACATTGTATCGTCTGCAGTATGGCATCCATAATTAGATTTAAAATCAATATAATAAAATATTATATTATTAAAATACTCAGTATGATAAAAAATAGAAAAAAAATAACAACGTGTAGTTAACGGTAAAATACAATAAGCATTTATACATAGATATCGGTTCATCAGAAATTAATGGCTAATAAACAATATGAAAAATCGCCGTTCGTTTTGATATTATAATAATATATCTTGATTTCATATTTATCGTTTAACGATACTAAGCTAACAGGCGTATGTTATTATTATTGTTATTGTTTTATGAGAGGTGTGCGCCCGTGCGACTCGTACAATGTTTATTGCTCTGTTACGTGTAACTGTATACAGAATACAATATTAATAGCGGTGACCACTGTGTGTCAATCTCTCGCGTCGCGCGGACGGAATAAATAAATTGCCTCTCAGCTGTAAATGCACTGATCGCTTAAAAACGTCTATCATTCCGATACGATGTGATCCTATTGTGCATGTACACGGTCGCGTTGATTGAGTACATACACGAGACGGTCGTCGTCACGTCGTTTCCGTCCGTCCAATGTATACATTATTTGATAGAGACATTCGATGTGGCGGCAAGAAGAACGGAAAAGAAGAAAACCAAATTTCGACCGTCTGATACAAGATTGATTATTTAAGATACGGTCAGTTTGAACCGTTCAGAAAAGAATTGTAACCGTAAAAAACTAGCAAAAAACCCAGTTTAGAGAATAATGAATAAACGGGAAAAAAATCCAACCTTGACGACGTTCAGCTGTTTACCGACCTAATAATACAGTGTTTGTCGTGGATCACAGACATCGGCGGGTGGAATGAAAACGGAAATCTTGATCGCGAGTAAATAAGTCCCGTCTGGTGACTATACAACATTATATGCGAACATTGTTCCGTATATAGTCGAATATCATACATTTGTTTTACAATAATATTGCATACGACCAGTTAAATTAATATTGTTATTATGTCCGAAAGGAAGAGAGAGAAAGAGAGAAAGAGAATCAAACGGATGGAAAAGAAATGGCAGAATCCGCGGTTTCGACGTTAATAACGGCAAATACAATAAAACTTCGGATTGCTGTGCTCCTCCTACCGTATTGTTTCCGGTTGAACGAATGATCTAAATGCCTGAAAAAAAATCCAAAAAGCAATTAAACGGGGTGGTTTCTCTTTATACATTATATATCTATCCTGTGTACAACAGCGAGCCGGGCTCGCAAATACGAACAAAGAATATCGCAAAAACTTGACCTTTTTATATTTATTTATTTTTATTTTTGTCCCCTATAGATATTCTTATATTTATATATATATATATATATATATATACGTAATAAACGGTAGAAATGTTAAAATAAAGAGCAGGTCATGAGCGAAAAAAAGTCCAATGGGCTAGCTATTAGTTCGCGGATGAATGAAAAAAAAAAAGAAAAAATGCGTCACCGTTAGGATTTTTTTCCTAGATGTCGTAATATATGGATAATGCGTCTGCGTTTGTATTGTTCAAATAGGTTTCTGAACCGGACAGACATGTATACATAAAATTGTACCCGGGGGAGCATTGCGAAACGACCTTTGAACACGCGCTGACGAATAGGCACGGTTGGCGTGCACCAAACATAAGTTGTTTGGGCATGATCCAAGTACTTGAGGTGGTTGTTGTTGGATAAAAAGGCTATTGATGCATGCGCTTAAGCCCCCACGTATGAATTTGAGAAATTTTTGTTCGTGTGCATAACTAATACAGTGGTATTTTACACATTTAATACACCAGTGAACACCAAGAAAAACGTTAAAGAAAATTAAACATATATATATATATATATATATATATAATGTGCAGTGAAAAATATAGACATTTGTGCGCGTGCACTTTATAGACGTGCCATAAATAAATTAGCAACAGTAATAATATTCGATAGAATAACGACGTGTTAACATTATCGAAGTATTATCGAACATTATCGAATGAACGCGATATTTATCTAAAATTCAGTCATAATTTTGTACCGTAACAATATAATACACTTATGAAAATATCAAACTGCATTTTAAACCAGATATAAATTGATATATAAAGAACAACAGTTTCAATGCACGTTTATAATATAATATATTAAATATTTATTGTAAATAATTTAATGTAAATACTAAATACAAAACAATCAAACCATTACTCAGTTCTGGGTCCCAATCTCAATTGACAATTTAAACAAATAAAGAAATAAACAATGAAAACTGTTTAATCAATCATAATTAAACAAATAAACTGGGATACTTTATTAAACTATATTTTGTAAAAAAAAAAAAAAAATAGTAGGCCATATAATAAGAAAATAATATAATAATTTATATATTTAATGTAATTGTTGAGTTAAATAGTAAATAAAATCTTTTTAAAAAAAATAAATAAATCATTTACAAGAAGATATCATACTATTATAATAAGAGTACCGTGAGTAGAACGATACTGATAACGATATCTGTAAATTACTATAACTAAGATCCAAAAAATAACTTAAAATGTTAATTTTTATTCGAATATAATATTGTAATTACCTGTACATAATATAAAAATTATAGAAAAACATTATATAAATATATTTATATGTAATAAATTATTTAGTGTTGAAATAATTTACTATATCTCCATTCTATTGTTTAAATAAAGATAAAACAAAACAGTGATCACCTTAGACGTATGACGGATGATTGCATTTTCCAAAAAAAAAAAAAAAATCAATCAATAACAAATTACTATATAATATTTTAACCGCAAACAAATAGTTACATTTTTTTTTTTTTAATTAAATTGTATATAAGATTCATAATTGGCTCTTGGTGGGTTTATTCGAAGTCATTATACAAACACAATGTAATATAAAAAGGTCTTAATTTCACAGGAATAGTGGCCTGTTAACCATTATATATAATGAATCTACACATTCGTAATTACTATATTTTAATGAAAATACATTATCATTGTGTAATTAAAATTTAATAAAAACAGTTACTGTCATTAGAAGGTACGTCCCACGACCTATTAAAAACCTTAAATAGTGCCTAGGCTAAATATTGTTAAACAATCAAAAACAACGTTATAATGTTACTGAGGGATTTTTCATTGAAATTCACCGCTCGGACTTACAATTAAATTCCATGGTATTCCGAGTTATTTTCTATAAACTTAAATGAACCCGGAATGATAACCCAAACACATTACTTATGACTTAGACATTACTTTTACTTAAATCTTATTTAACTCATGCTTGTATAACTAAAATCAATGATACCACTTTGAGGATATTAAAATACCTACCAATAACATTCTATTAACCTTCGGTCTTCGAGGAAGTCACACATAGCCGATTTCATATTCAAAATTTTAATTTATGGTTTATTCAATAATATTAAAAGTATAGTCATAGTATATTGGTATATAACAATGATATTCTCTTTCTCCCTGTCAGTAGGATATCGTGAATCTCGTAATTACCCAGTTACATACTACTATTGTTATAATAATTATTATTATTGTTATAGGCCTAATTCATCAAATAGAATAACCAGATATACCATGTAAATGATTAAGATACATTTTACTATGTGTACGTAAAATACATTCCAACATTCATTAGCAAAGTATTACTTCAGTCTCAGAAGACGTAAATTTACCTACTTAAAAATAGTTATTACAAACGCCTTATACGAATTCCCTTAAATAGTTAACGGAAAACATGAGAGTTCCCCTACACAAAGGCCTCCATTATATTTAAAATTATTATAAACAACAAAAAGTACAATTTATACAGTTTTTCACGCGTGAGAATGTTTCATTGGCATACTATACAATTAAACTTAAGTCACAGCCAAACTATCTAACTCAAAATGTTTGCAGACATTCGTCATTGGTGTGTGTGTGTACAAATACAAAGATGGGTTACTGTTATCACTTTGAAAAATAAAATCTTTTTATACAAAAACAGTTTCTCCCAATCATAAAAAAAAAAAAAAAAATCACAACCACATAAATTTCAACTTGACCATTAATACTTCACAAATATTAGGTAA